AAATTACAACCGAACGCCAGGAAACAGCGAAAATGTGTCTTCGGCCACAGCGCGGACCGTTTAGTGGGATACTACACGCCCAAACGGTCACATCTGAAAATCGCTGTTTTACCACAGTGCGAAGCGTTTAGTGCCGATTTTGCTGGCAGGCGCAGTATTTGCGCTCTGCGTCGCGCCAAAATCACAGAGGGTGAGCGTGTAGTGCCGCCAGTTGTGGCACTACACGGCAGGTTTCTGTGCACCAACCTTGGCAGGCGCAGTATTTCAAAAGGAAACATGGCGATCCCACAGCTTAAACCCTGCCGCGGCTAAAGCTGTGAGGTGGCCACGTTTGTTTGTCAAATACTTGCCACGGGCTAAGCTGTGAGGTGGCCATGTTTGCTTGTCAAAAACTGCCCCTGCCAGGGTTTACGCTGTGTAGTGGCCATGTTAGCTTCTGAATTACTGCGCCTGCCAGCCTTTAAGCTGTCCAGGTTAAGCTGTGAGGTGGCCATGTTTGTTTGTCAAGTACCGCAGTTGTCAGGGTTTAAGTTGTGAGGTGGCCATGTTTGTTTGCAATATTTGCCACAGGTTGAGATGTGTGGTTGTTTGCTTCTGAAATGCTGCGCTTGCCACGGGTTTAAGCTGTGATGTGGCCATGTTTGCTTCTGAAATATTGTGCCTGCGACGGGGTTGTTAGCTGCCAAAGTACTGCGCCTGCCACGGGCTTAACCTTTGAAATATTGGGCCTGCCGCTTTAAGAGATCTGTTGAATACGCCCCGCTCCCCAGCGGCAATGCTGCGTCAGTGTGAGATGAACTGAAGCTGTCATATGCTTCTTTACAGCGTTTCACAGCAGCATTGCCGCCGGGGTGTGGGGGTTCTGCACTGCCCGCGCAAAAACTATCGGGACAAGAAAGACGGAACATATCGAGGGACAAAAATCTGCATGTGCTTTGAAGTCAAGGTCCCACACGGGGCATGTGTCCTCATTTTGGACTGCAGGCTTTTATGAAAGCAATGGATAACTTGGCTGTAATCATCGCCATCGTTTTTTGGTTTCAGATCATTCAGTCTTGACGTGTATTATTCGAGTTCCCGTGAGTCTCGCTTTGTCCTCGTACCATTACGTTTTGCGTCCGAGGTCTGGCCTCGGGCAGGCCTCGGTGAGCCTCGGAGCGCCTCGAATGCCAACAAACCTGCTTCATCATGGCCCTTAAAACAGGGCCGAAAAAAGTGTTCAAAACATGGCTGCGATAGAGGGACCTCGACAGTGGCAAGCAGCCTTGGGACGCACAAAGAGAAAAGGTATGTGTTGACATTCATGTTCAAGCTGCTGGATCGCAAATCTGCTTGCAAAACATTTGCGGGCAGCAACGAAATTCTCCAATGGCTGACCCCATGGGGTCCAGAATTGGATCACATTTTCATTCCTTCTTTTAGGTCTTTGCTTGGGCCCCGTTTTGGGGTCCAGATTTGGACCCAAAAGTGGGGCCAGCCATCGGAAAATTTTGCTGCTGCCCACAGATGTTTTGCAAGCAGATTTGCGGCGCACTAGCATGAGCGTAAGTGTTAACACATGCTTTTTCTCTCTGTGCGTCCCAATTTGTTTCTTGTACAGTAGCAAGCGGCCTTGGGACGCACAAAGAGAAAAAGGTATGTGTTGAGATTCATGTTCAAGCTGCTGGGTCGCAAATCTGCTTGCAAAACATTTGCGGGCAGCAACGAAATTCTCCGATGGCTGACCCCATTTTTGGGTCCAAATATGGACCCCAAAACGGGGTCCAGAATTGGATCACATTTTCATTCCTTCTTTTAGGTCTTTGCTTGGGCCCCGTTTTGGGGTCCAGATTTGGACCCAAAAGTGGGGCCAGCCATCGGAAAATTTTGCTGCTGCCCGCAGATGTTTTGCAAGCAGATTTGCGACGCAGTAGCATGAGCGTAAGTGTTAACACATGCTTTTTCTCTCTGTGCGTCCCAATTTGTTTCTTGTACAGTCGAGGTCCCTTTATGGCCTCCATGTTTCTACTAGTTTTTTGGATCCTGTTTTCGGGGCCATGATGAAGCAGGCTTGTCGCCAAACACTAAAGTCCTTGGCTGCTGAATGTCTTGTTGGCGTTCGTTTGGGGCTGCTGAATTTCTTGACTCCTGTCTGCGTGGACTGATTGTTTTGGTTGCTTGCATTTGGTGCAGGTGGCTGTTTGTTTTGGACAGATGTCGTTGACACACTTCCTAGATCTGGGTTGGTGGGTTGGTGCCTAGAAAGTGTATTTTTTGCTGATGAACACAGCTACAATTTTTATCCCGCACCCGCTGTCAATTTGGGAATAGACCGAGAGGGGACAGCGAAAAGCCAAGACGGTCAACAAAAAGGAACATTGGCCCATGTAAAGCGTAAAGTTGCAACGGCCCTTTCAATGAAGGTGAAACCTGTTAAAAAATATAGACATTCATGTGCATTTGCTCCAATTTCAGCCGTCGAGGCTTGCCTCGAAAATTCTCCTCATCCTTACATTTTTTGTTTTGTTGCAATTTCTATAGCCTCGAGGCTGCCTCGAAGCCTGCTTTGAAGCCTGCCGCCAGGCTCATCTTGAAAGATTGTTTGTTTTGCTCCAAGTTCGCATGGTCGAGAACCGGAGTTGCAACAGAGGATGCAAATGCCTTTTTCCCGTCTTGCAGAAAGCGCGCTGTTTTGCGCTAACTTTGCTGTCGCCCCTGCGGGTTTGATTTGCTTGGCATGCGCAATACTTCTGGCAGTCACGGTGTGAAAACTGACAACCTTTAGTGCAGATTTTGGTGGCAGGTGCGGTATTTACGGCGTGTGTGACACTGAACCTACAGAGGGTGAGCGTTTAGTACGACAGTTGTGGCACTACACGCCTTTTACCGTGGAAAAAACCAGCAAAACAGGTCCAGCGTGTAGCGTGTAGTGGCTCTTTTTTCTAAACTATATTGATCTTTAAAAAATAATTGCGACCGAACGCCAGGAAACGGCGAAAATGTGTCTCCGGCCACAGCGCGGAGCGTTTAGTGGGGTACTACACGCCCAAAAGGTCGCATCTAAAAATCGCTGTTTTACCACAGTGCGAAGCGTTTAGTGCCGATTTTGCTGGCAGGCGCAGTATTTGCGATCTGCGTCGCGCCAAAATCACAGAGGGTGAGCGTGTAGTGCCGCCAGTTGTGGCACTACACGGCAGGTTTCTGTGCACAAACCTTGGCAGGCGCAGTATTTCAAAAGGAAACATTGCCACCCCACAGCTTAAACCCTGCCGTGGCTGAAGCTGTGAGGTGGCCACGTTTGTTTGTCAAATACTTGCCACGGGCTAAGCTGTGAGGTGGCCATGTTTGCTTGTCAAAAACTGCCCCTGCCAGGGCTTACGCTGTGTAGTGGCCATGTTAGCTTCTGAATTACTGCGCCTGCCAGCCTTTAAGCTGTCCAGGTTAAGCTGTGAGGTGGCCATGTTTGTTTGTCAAGTACCGCAGTTGTCAGGGTTTAAGTTGTGAGGTGGCCATGTTTGTTTGCAATATTTGCCACAGGTTGAGATGTGTGGTTGTTTACTTCTGAAATGCTGCGCTTGCCACGGGTTTAAGCTGTGATGTGGCCATGTTTGCTTCTGAAATATTGTGCCTGCGACGGGGTTGTTAGCTGCCAAAGTACTGCGCCCTGCCACGGGCTTAAGCTTTTTGAAATATTGGGCCTGCCGCTTTAAGAGATCTGTTGAATACGCCCCGCTCCCCAGTGGCAATGCTGCGTCAGTGTGAGATGGACTGAAGCTGTCATATGCTTCTTTACAGCGTTCCACAGCAGCATTGCCGCCGGGGGTGTGGGGGTTCTGCGCTGCCCGCGCAAAAACTATCGGGAGAAAAAATGCAGGATCACATGGAGGTGAGGCCATGGCGGCCACATGGTATGTTCTTTATTTCGCAAGAAAGACGGAACATATCGAGGGACGAAAATCTGCATGTGCTTTGAAGTCAAGGTCCCACACGGGGCATGTGTCCTCATTTTGGACTGCAGGCTTTCATGAAAGCAATGGATAACTTGGCTGGTAATCATCGCCAGCGTTTTTTGGTTTCAGATCATTCAGTCTTGACGTGTATTATATAGATTCGAGTCCCCGTGAGCCTCGCTTTGTCCTCGTACCATTACGTTTTGCGTCCGAGGCCTGGCCTCGGGCAGGCCTCGGTGAGCCTCGGAGCGCCTCGAATGCCAACAAACCTGCTTCATCATGGCCCTTAAAACAGGGCCGAAAAAAGTGTTCAAAACATGGCTGCGATAGAGGGACCTCGACAGTATTGCTTCTTGATCATACAGCCAAAGGAGCCAGCACGTCATCGGAAGAACTCAATGCACAGATATCACCACGCACCCATGACGAGCACAATCTCCCATACCATGAAGACGTTGTCGGTGTTTGCTTCAAAGTGTCAGGGTGAAGGTCATGCCGTGAAGGCTGCTCTTTCTGATCTCGGGGATCCTGACTGGGGGAATCCCTGGTTTCTGCATTGAGCTGTGTTGCTTCTCACACCCTCTGAATTGGCCCCTGTGATTTTGTGGCGTTTCTTGTTTTGTGTTTCTTGTTGAGAGCCAGCGTCATCATGGCACACAAGATGTCATTATGCATGCACTGAGATGATACTAATGTTTGCGGTCAACTTGTTGATAGCTCCTTATTACTAGTGTTGGTGAGAAACGTGTTTCGTGCTGCTGTTGTCTCTTCCGTTTGCTGGACTTCTGTTCTCTGTGGGATCACTCGAAGTTTCTTTGTGCTTGCAATTACAACAGTCATTTTTTGGACAGGTGTTTTGCTTGAACCTTTTACTTTGGAAGCGACTTCAACATGGGAATCAACTTCTTGCAGTGGTTTTTCAATCTCGACGTTTTCTTCACTGAACAGGTTTCTTGCAGCTATGTTACTATACAATCAGGTTTGAATGGATTCAATGTCACGTCGTGACGTATGGCTCAGCAGGGTTGGGTGGCGGGTAGCCTCTATCCTTATTGGACAAGAGGTTGCTCCATGGGAGCGCGCGCGCGGGGGAGGGTAGCTGCATCGGCTCCCCTCGCTCTGCGACCTGTGCCGGTCGTTTCAGCTCAGTCTGGCATTCGTGATTTCCTGGTTTTTTCAAGTGGCTTCATTTCAGCTTGCATTTGCATTGGGTGGCTTTTGTTTGGAGTCGTGAATGTGGATCAGCCTTGACAGATTTTCCGAGTGTGATCCTCAGGAAGGGTTCATTGTCCATATTCCAGGGTGGTTTGGCCTTCAATCCATCATTTTGGCATTTTTGACTCCTGCGGAATCCCATCGTTATTTACGTACTTGTGTTTATTTGCTGCTTGACACCAGGGACCTCCTTCTCAACGCTACAGCTGTCAGAATTCAGTATTTTGGGTCTTTTTCAGTGCCAACACCACCAGTGCAGCCAACGTTGCAGCCAGCCGTCGGACAAGGTGGGGGAGACTGGGACCTAGAATTTTCTGGCAGTAGTGAGCCTTCTGACACTAGTGAGTCTGAAGAGGCATTTGAGAATCATGCCATGGAGGGTGAAAACATTGACGGAGTACAGGACCTCTGAAGGTGCGTCTCCAGAAGATACTGACAACATGCCTGTCAGCGATGACCTCAGTGTGAGTGTGCCCGAACAGCTTGGAAATGCCGAGACCTCAGATTTTTTGTCAGGTCGTTGTGCCTTAGATGACATTGCTTTTGGTGACGGTGAACTTGGTAGACAGGAGTTGCCAATGGATTCAACCACAGGTCCAAATCATGGTCAGGCACAACGGGTTTCCAGGAATTGTGCGGCTTTGGCATTGGGTGCAAGTCAGGTGCCAAGAGGGCCGGTGATTTCGGAATCCAGCTTTGAGCAACTGCTGTCGCATGCATACTTGGGCACAAAGGGTCAGTTGACTGTTAAGATGCCTTGGGAGCGTGGAGTTTTCAAGAAGGTTTTTCAGAAACCTGCAACTGGTATTCAGCATGTTTTCCAGCAGCCAAGAATTTGGGTCAATTACAACCTGGAGTCTGTTGCAGAGACCTTGGAAGACTTGCATGAGCAGACGGCAAAACGTCCAGAGCTGGTTGGAGCCTTTTTCGAACATGCTTTAACTGCGGTGTCTGACTTGTCATTTCATCAGCAACGCACTGGTCTTCTGGAAACAGCAGTGGAAAAATGGTTTTGCATTATCAGGGTGAACATGCTGGCATCCTCAACGGGCAGGGACATCATCAGTTTTGGGAACATGGATGATCAGAAGCGAGGGGCCTTTGAAACTATTGAAGCTGTGATTGGTATCAGATCTAGGACCACAGCTATCACCAGGGCAAACTCCTTGTTGAAATTCCTGCGCTGGAGGGCGGAGTGTTCTGACAATGATGGCAGGCCCTTTGAGGAGCAGGAGGCATGGCAGTATTTGAAGGAGTTGAGAGAAACTGGAGCGGCTCCCACAAAGGGTTCAAGTTTTCTGTCAGCATGTGCATATGCATTTCCTGTCTTTGGCTTCAACGATTTGGAGAGCATTTGCAATAGCAAAAGGTTGAAAGGACTGGCTGACCTGATGCATGCCGTCAAGGCGCCGTTGAAACAGGCGTTGGTGCTCACGATCAGGCAGGTTCTCATGCTGCATGAATTGTTGGATGCTACAGATTGCAATGTGGTTGACAGGGCAGTTGCTGCATACCTCCTTGTAGCCCTGTATGGGAGATGTCGGCACAGTGATTTGCAAAACATTGAAGACGTTTTCATTGATTTGGGTCCAGAAGGAGGATATCTTGAGATTACAACGAGGACGCACAAGACCTCGAGGACAGCATCTCAGAAATCCAGGTTGTTGCCCGTGGTTCTGCCAGCCATAGGTGTGCAAGGGCGAGAGTGGATCACGGCTGCGAAGATGGCCTTCAAAGACTATGGCCTCAGCCTGGAAGGCCATATCGGTGGACCTTTGTTCAGACCGCCGGGTGCAGATGGGAACAGCCACTGCAAAAGGGGCCTTACCTCACAAGAGGTATCAAGGTTTTTGAGAGTCATGCTCGGTGAGAACATGACGCATGACAAGGAGAGCGGGCCAAAGTTGTCGTCGCACTCACTCAAAGCGACAGTCCTCTCTTGGGCGGCGAAAGCAGGCATGGCGGCTCAGGACAAGTCCATTTTGGGGCGGCATGTGAGTGCATACACAGATTCAAGTGCTGTCTATGCAAGGGACTTGTCAATAGGTGCGGTTTCACGCCTTCAAGAAGTTGTTCTGCAGATATACAGAGGAGAGTTTCTGCCTGACGCGCCTCGAAGCGGGTATTACCCAGTGGCCATGCCTGTTGCTGAAGCACCTGAGTTGCCAGATGCAGAAGTGATCAAGGTCGAAGATGATGCTGCATGTCAGGAGCTGGATATGGAAGTTCCGGTGGCCGACAGCCAACTGTGTGAAGAGGCTTGTAGTGCCTCGTCAGATGGCTCTGAGTCGTTGGAAGGTTCTGACTCCGAAGAGGAGATAGTGCCACCAGCACCCAAGTGCTATAGGCACGTTGCAGCTGGCCCTCTGGAGGGGAAATTTGTGATGCACAAAGTGTCACACTTGGTGCACTACGTTGACTCTGGAGTGAAGGGAGGCCTGGCAACCAAGGTCATTTCATGCGGCGGAGCTTTGAACAACAACTACAAGACCGTGGAGAGATTTGACACGGTTGACGTTTGCCGTCGCTGTAAAACCAATGCGACGAAAGACGGACTCTTGCCGAAACCTGCAGTATAAAAAAGTGTGCTCTCACATGGTGAGTCTTGGCACACTCTGGTGCAAGGGTTAGGTTGCGTGGCACCTCATTGGCTGCATGGCAGCATGATTGCACATGTCAAGATTGGATTGGAAGAGAAGGGTATGAGTTATCTGTTGCAGATTTGCAAGACATGTTAGTGCGGACATGAGTGCTGAAAATTCAACAGATTGATGAGGGTGAATTTATGGATTCATGGAGCGTGGCTCGTGAGGAAGTGTGATGGAAATAATGCTACTGATTTTGAGTCATGATCCACTTTCATTTTTGAAGCTTTCATTCATGAACTGTTTTGTTTTATATGGAATGAATGCACTTGGAAAGACTTTTTCTCAGGAATTGTCACGACTTTTCAGGTTGATGGGGAACGATTGTGACACTTGTCAAACAGCTTTCATTAGTGTGCACCTTGTAGCTTGTGATCAATGGCGAGCTTACTGGATTCAGAAGCGCAATTTGTGCAGCGCACCATCGATTTGAAGCTATCGGAGGAGCTCAAGCGCAGTTTGAAAAGGACAGGGTTGCAGACTTTTGGAACCTTTGCATACGCACATGGCCAACCAGGACAGAACATAGCAGATGAGGCGTTCGAGACTTGGGTCACAAGCCAATTGTTGACAGGTGCCACCATAGCAGATGTCGCAGGTGCCAAGAGGCTGCTCTTCGAGAGTCAAACAATTGTTCTGGCGTCCTTGCAGGACCAAGTGAATACACCCGACGCTTCTTCCATAAAGAAGGTGCCGGTGGCGGAGCGTGAGACCAAAATGAGGGCGATCAAGCAGAGATTGACAGGCCTCCTCATAGAAGGCCCACTGGAACCTGGCCATGCACTTTTGGACACCACGGCCAGCATGATGCAACTCAATGAAATCAAATACATCCCTCCGGAAAAATGTATCTCGAGGACTCATGAAGTTTTGAACCAGAAGTCGCCCACGAAACAGTTGGATATCTCTGCAGAGAGCCTGGTTGTGAAGGAAAAGCATGATACACCAGACATGACTGTCACCTCAGCACTCCAAGTACAAGAAGCTTTCCAGCGGCGCGGCATAGCACTGGTGTTTGCAGATCTCATCACCCATGAGAGTTACACCAGGTACCTCACAACTCTCTTTGGCCATTTGCACAGGGACCCACCAACAGGGTACGCGAGGACCACAGTGAGTCAATTGGTGACAGCTGATCGAACAGTGTGGCAGATGTTGTTGGAGGAAGGCGTACAGCCAAAGAGAGATGAGATGGGAAACTTGGCGCTTGATACAAAGCTCATGGAGAGTCTCCAGAGTTATCGTGTTTCTTTCTCATTGCTGCCTCTCATAGCAAAGAAGGATGCCACGCCCAGCCCGACGAAGATTACAAAGCCTTCTATCAGCCATGGAGGAAAAGGAGCCAATTTGCAGGTCCAAAAGCCATGGATCAAGAACAAAGGAGGTAAGAAAGGCGGAAAAGGCAAGGTGAGGGTGCCGAACCATATCTTTAAGCTGGGCGGCACGGCATCAAATCCGGCGGGTGAGGCAATATGTTTTGGATTTAACAGTGGTTCTGGATGCAGTGAAGCAGCAGATGGAGCAAAGTGCAGACGTGGGTTGCACATATGTGCCAAGTGCTATGGCACGCATAGCATCCAGAAGCATGAGTCGACTTGACTCCAGGGCCAGGATTGCGTTGAAGCATTGACCAGTGATACATCTAAGAGATGTGTGGTGGATGACAACATTTTTGCAGATACAAATTTTTCAGGTTGTGCTGGGCCGAGTGATTCATGCGAAGAGCGTGTTGGCTGCAGTAACTCAATTAAAGAGCAGAAAAAGGACACAATGGCAGCGAAGACTGACATACCAACAACTTGCAGTTTTGAAACCATTTTTCCAGTGAAATTTGAACGTGATCGCCGGAGTGCAGGCGACTCAGCTGAGAAAATGCCGTCCGTTCAGCAGCATCAACCAATGCATGGTGTTGAATTGACATCTTTTGATTTTAGCAATGAGCAGTTGAAAGGACCTGTGGTCATTGAGGTTTTTTGTGGCAGTGCCAGGGTAACAGCATCCTTGAAGGAAGTGGGACTCACCCAGTCCTTTGGGGTCGATCACGTCTTAGACAAGGCGGTGTCAGCGGCAAAACGTCTCGATCTTACTCAGCTTGAAGACCAGCAACTTTTTCTTCAGTGGATGAGTTCACCTTTGGTTGTTGGATTGTTTTTAGCACCCCCTTGCGGAACTTGCTCTTTGGCAAGGAACATCCAACTGAGGGACGAGAAAGGCAGGAAAATCCCAGGCCCGATACCTTTACGATCTGCAGTGTGGCCGGAAGGCTTGCCTGGGCTGGGTGCCAAGGATAGAGCAAGGGTATCAGCAGCGAATACACTGTATGACTTTGTTGCAAAAGTTGTTGCACTGGCACATTCAATGGGGCTCATTGTAGTTGTGGAAAATCCTAGATCATCGCTTTTTTGGCTGACGCGTTTTTGGAAAAATATTGGAGTGCCAATGCAATATACGGCACATCAGGCATGTGCATACGGTGGTGAGCGACCGAAGTGGACAGTTTTGGCATGGAACCATCCAGCTTTCTCTAGCATCAATAGATGCTGTCCGGGAGAAGGCAAGCATCATCATCACAAACCTTGGGGGCTGGTGAAGTCTGAAACAGGTACCCATTTCTCCACTAGCGAAGAAACAGCTTACCCACGGGGTCTTGCACATGCAATTGCAAAAGTTTTTGCTGAAATCATGACATCATTTGGTTGGAGTCCACCATCAGAGCAACTTACTGGTACAGAGGTAACTCTACAGTCTATGAGAGCGGCCGCAACAGCGCAACCAAAGGCATCCAAGATGCCGCCTGTGGTGAGAGAACATAAATCTGTTGTTTTGATTCAAGGTCCTCACGAAGCGTTGTGCGAGGTACCCATTGCCCCAATGCAGCGTCTCAAAGACGCCTGGCAAATTCCGGCGGCTTGCTCATCCAAGATGAAGGAGATTCCAGCGGGGGCCCAACTGTTGCGTCAGACTCCCCTTCGGATAAGTGGGGGGAAAAGTCATCCTGGGTCAACAACAACAACGGACACAGCTGAAGTGTTTGGGGCAGATGTTTTTGAGCAGGCTTGGGGCATTCCGTTCAGTCCCAAGGAGTTCATGGAAGAAGCAGTAGCAAGGGGTCACCCCAAGTTGTTTGCGAGGCTGGTACCTGAAGTTCTGCAGGTGGCCATAAGGAACAATTTCAAACCTACAAGTGTGCAAAGTTTGCCAGCAGCAAGGGCGAAGTGGTTTTCAAAATGGACAGAAAGAGCAAAGCAGTTAACAGAGTCTGATGTTGCACTCAAATCATCCCTGCCTCCTCACGCAGCACACATTTTGGAGCCGAAGCGCTTACTGTTGTTTAAGGAAATTTTGGAGGATATTGGTTATCCTGATGTGGGAGTGTTTGACGAGCTGGTGCATGGAACAGAGTTGGTCGGTGAGGTGAAACCATTTGGAATTTTTGAGAAATCGTTTAGACCGGCAGAAATGACCACAGAGCAACTGATGTCTTCGTCACAATCCAACAGGGTGTTGAATTTTTACAGATGCTCTTCTTCTGGGGACACTGAGATTGATGAAGTAGTCTACAACAAGACGCTTGAGGAAGTTGAGTTGGGTTGGGCCAAGGGCCCCATTGCTTTGAATGACTTGCCGCATGATGCAGTGGTCAGCAGGAGATTTGGACTGAAGCAGGCAGCAAAAATCCGTCTCATAGACGACCTGAGCTCAAGCAAGGTGGACCAGACAGTACAAACGGCTGAATCTCCCAAACCGCACTCGGTGGATTTTATTGCAGCCATGCTTTTGGAGGTTTTGAAATACAGCAAGGGTGTCCAACTGTGGGGCAGGTCATTCGATCTGAAAAGCGCGTATAAGCAATTAGCCATAGCAAAATCTTCCTTGCCATGTGCCTTCGTTGCAGTGTATAACCCGACATCAGGCAAGGCGGAACTGTATCAATTGCTTGCAGCACCCTTCGGTGCAACCAGGAGTGTGTATTCTTTTTTGAGAATCTCAAATGCCATCTGGTATATAGGCGTTAAAGCATTGAGCATCATATGGAGCTGCTTCTTTGACGATTACGTCTCTTTCTGCAGGGAAGAGCACGTAAACAACACTCGCATGACAGTCTGCCTTTTGTTCAAACTTTTGGGTTGGAAGTTTGCTGAGGATGGAGACAAAGCTGAGGACTTTGCAAAGGAGTTTGGAGCATTGGGCATACGTATCATGTTAGGAGACTCAGCGGATGGTGTAGTAAAGTTTACAAACACTGAAAAGAGAGCGACAGAGCTGATCAGCACCATACATGCACTCCTTGATAAGGGATCCATGACCTTGGTAGAATCACAGCGACTCAGGGGAAGGATGCAATTCATGGATGGCCAGTTGTTTGGTAGGCTTGGCAAGTTGTGTATGAGGGAAGTAACCAATCACTCCTTGATGTCTAATTCTACTAAGCTTAGTAAGCGGACTGCAGATGCAATGAAGAGGTTTTCAATTTTCCTGGAACATGCAGAGCCACGTCAGCTGCACTTGAACTCAGACACGGTGTGGTTCATATACACTGATGCGTGTTTCGAGCCCACTTCGGATAGCTGGAAATGTGGTCTGGGAGGAGTTCTTGTAAATCCTGTTGGTCGCAGAGAGGCCTTCTTTTCCGTGGCCCTTGACGAGGACCAGATGGAATTGTTGGGATCAAGTGTCAAAAAGACGATCATCTTTGAGGCAGAGCTTCTGGCGATGATAGTTGCCTTTTCAGCTTGGAGGAAGTACATTTCAGCCATGTCGATGCTTTGTTTCATTGATAACAATTCAGCAAGGGACGTTGCAATCTCAGGGAGCGGAAGAAACATCACAGCAAATTTCCTTATTGAGGCACTCCTGAAGCTTGAAATGGCGACCTGCACAACACCATGGTATAGTAGAGTGCCTACCCCTTCGAACGTAGCGGATGATCCATCGAGAGGTGAAATTCAAGAACTGGTTGAGAGCGGAATCATGAGGACGTGTGTGAAAGATGCCTTGGAAGAAATTCTTTTGGTTTTGGCAGAAGCAACGGTCATGGGGGGTCATACAACATAATATCCACAGCGAGTGTTTGGCAGCTGTGGTCTCAAACATTTCAGTGCGATTTATATGATCGCCACCGGTGATGGTAACTTCTGGAGCTGCATATTTGTTGCGACTGAACCGTACAGCCCATCGTCACTGGTGTCAAAAAGAAGAGTGCGCCTGAAAGTTCAACATACATGACATGTCAGCTGAAGTCAAGGGTTCGTTTGTGAGTTCTTCGTTTGCAGTTTTATTTCATGTGCGAACATGTGGATGGTTTTTGCGGCGAGATTGCGACGAGTTTTTTCGTGGGATTTTTGGGTTCATCCTCTGTAGATAACTGCAGCCACCAACACTAGTAATAAGTTTGCGGTCAACTTGTTGATAGCTCCTTATTACTAGTGTTGGTGAGAAACGTGTTTCGTGCTGCTGTTGTCTCTTCCGTTTGATGGACTTCTGTTCTCTGTGGATCACTCGAAGTTTCTTTGTGCTTGCAATTACAACAGTCATTTATTGGACAGGTGTTTTGCTTGAACTTTTTACTTTGGAAGTGACTTCAACATGGAAATCAACTTCTTGCAGTGGCTTTTCAATCTTGACGTTTTCTTCACTGAACAGGTTTCTTGCAGCGATGTTACTATACAACTCAGGTTTGAATGGATTCAATGTCACGTCGTGACGTATGGCTCAGCAGGGTTGGGTGGCGGGTAGCCTCTATCCTTTTTGGACAAGAGGTTGCCCCTCCCTCCACGCCCTTTTTCCTTCAGTTCTCCATATGGAGACATACAACTTAATATCCACAGCGAGTGACTGGCAGCTGTGGGGGTCATACAACATAATATCCACAGCGAGTGTTTGGCAGCTGTGGTCTCAAACATTTCAGTGCGATTTATATGATCGCCACCGGTGATGGTAACTTCTGGAGCTGCATATTTGTTGCGACTGAACCGTACAGCCCATCGTCACTGGTGTCAAAAAGAAGAGTGCGCCTGAAAGTTCAACATACATGACATGTCAGCTGAAGTCAAGGGTTCGTTTGTGAGTTCTTCGTTTGCAGTTTTATTTCATGTGCGAACATGTGGATGGTTTTTGCGGCGAGATTGCGACGAGTTTTTTCGTGGGATTTTTGGGTTCATCCTCTGTAGATAACTGCAGCCACCAACACTAGTAATAAGCATCAGTTCCGCCGACTCTTGCTTGAGCATGGAGGCATGCAACATGCGACATCCTCAGTTCCCCTCAGTGTCCCTGAATGGTTAACCCGCCTACATGACAACGCTCTGCAGGCTATCCCAACTCGCTTCCTCCCGGAACTCCTGTCGCCTGTAAGGCCCCAACATGCTGGCACAGATAATCAGAACCACCCATGCCACATGCAAACCACTGCCAACGAAGCAGTTACTCTCCACTCTGCAGCACTCCCTGATCTGGTTTGCACAGCTACCACATCCATTGCCCCCAATCAACCCATTGCAGTTCTCCCACTCGGACACCCATGGCTGAGCCTCATCGCCCCAGCTAGAGCCCGGGTTGCAGGATTCCACCCCAATGCCAAGATTGTACCAGCCTGCCCCAACTCGCCTGATTCTTTATGTACAGTCACAGCTCTTCAATCCGTCAGTCCGGATGAGTTGATCTTGGCGATCCCTCTTGATGATACACAACCTGAACCCTCCATACAGATCGTAGGGCAATTCGATGGCAGTTGTATGCGCGAAGAAATGTTAGGAGGAGCAGGGTATGTTATATATGCAATAGAAGGTGGTCGGTCTCGTGTTATTGCATGTCGGTCAGTCGCTCTTCCGCATTGTTCAGACAATATAGAAGCAGAAATCATGGCCTGCTTGTACCTAGTTGAAGAAATCTCTGTTGTTGTCAAACAACTTCTATCAAGCCGTGGCCTCACTCCTAAGGTAGTCATCCAAGGTGATATTCTTCCTGTCATCAAGTACTTCCAATTTGCAGGCCGCCTCCGAAGGCTGGACATGCACCAACCACTGGAGAGCATTCGCACGACTGTAAGTTTACACCTTCCCCATGGTCTTTTTTTATACCTGCCTCGAGTTGCAAACGGCATTGCGGACGACTTGGCGGGGCAAGCCTCTCAGTTTCTATTGGCCAGATATAGGAGTGACCCCGCTACCTTCAACCGGGACTCTGGGCCGGTGTCCATCAAACCATCATTCCCAACAGCCCTTTTTCAAGTAGGAGGTTTCCACATTCAATGTTTTGAACACCCCTGGAGTCAGCCGACACTTACCCTAGTGGAGAGACCCAGCATTGACCACGGCCTCCTCCGCAGACACTTGACCCTCCACCCCCATCACCGCCAGCTGATCGAATCGTATCTGTCCCCCTGTCTACCGCAAAATAGCAGTATTGAAATTGGTTACTCCCCCAAAGCTGCCGACAACCATGGACGTAAGTATTGCTGCACCATAGGGGGCCAGAGATTACCGAGGGCTGCAAGGCTCCTACTGTTCGGACGTAATCACTGCGAAATTGACCTTAAAGGGTCTTTTTATGAACTTGTCCGACGCCTGGGATTACTTTTTGCGCCTGACCTAGTACCCCTCCCAACCATCGATGAACTTCGTGCGCAACTCCACCGCGATCCCTATATCCAAGAGGTAGAAGCAATTTGTCCCTACACTATCAAGCAACTCCCACTGAGGATTATCAACAGCTCTCTCGATGCTACATACCGATATCTGAGATCCCTTGTGGATGGCTCCCCCGGTGCTAGTGTAAGCGCGACCCTTCACCAACTCTGGTCCCTAAGTACATCCCTGACTACCCAGTTGTTAACACGATTCCGACCAGCGTTCAGTGTCAACCATAATGACAGCGCTTTTAGATTGCTAGAATACTTCGAAGCCCTTATTGTTGAAAACACCATTCACGCACTCATCGCCCGGCACCCGACACAGTCCTTGGTGTGGCTCCATGATGGCTTTTTAGTTGCTCCTCCGCCTCCTGAATACATGGTAAGGCAAATTGAAAAAGAAGTTCTGTCCAAACATCAGCTCTACTTCGATCAGCCATGGTTCAAAGTCACTCCCCTTGCGGCTGCGCGCAATGCATACGTAGAAACCCTCAAGCATACCGCCAGTTGCCGAGCCCTAGCCCTCACCCGCCGCACGTCTCATCAATGCAACCGTAAGCAGCATACTGCTAAAGGATCCGCACACATTTGCACCACCCCTTTGGAAGCTCTTGCCAAGCTGCCCGCTCGACG